TTGCTCAAAAATGCATTAGGGCTTTTAGGGGATGTTTTATTTTTTTTCATGTACAACAATCTACATTCATTCAAATACAGTCATATATTCTGCACTGAAGACAGGTTTATGTCCCATTCAAAAAATATTGTTTGATGTATGTCCTTCTAACCTTTACCCACTATGAACACCGTTAAAAAAAAGTAAATTTAAATGTTGTTTATTATTTATTCAAAATATTTTTACCCTGTCTGTCTCCTTAAAAAAAGACCCAAGGTGGCTTTCATAATTTAAAGCTAAAAATAATAAGTATACAAATGCTAAAAGGGATCAAACAAATACCACTCTAAGAAATGGTAAACAAAAGCAATACTAAAACCACATTCTAAGTAGTAAGGTACAAACATCCATTTAAAATCCTACTCAGACAGTCACTGAGGGAAAGCTTGCCTGAAGAGAAAGTTCTCTGTCGGCTTGCAGGAGGACAGCAAAGTTGGGGCCAGCCTGGCCCCCTGTGGGACAGAATTCCAAAGCAACAGAGAAGGCCCTCTTCCAGGTCCCCACCAGATAGATGGTGGGACTGAAAGAAAGGCTTTCCTGATGATCTTAACACCCATGCAGGCTCATAATGACAGATGCAGTTCTTGAGATATAGAGCGTTATGGGTTAGAACCAGCACTTTGAACTGTGTCCAGAAAGGGACTGGCAGCCAGTGGAGCTGCTGTAACAAGGGGGTTATGTGATCACTATAACCATCCCCAGTCAGCAATCTGGCTGCCACATTTTGGAGTCACTGAAGTTTCCTGATACTTTCCCGAGGAAACGTCACATAGAGCAGGTTAAAGTAATCCAGTCAGGATAAGGCATGTGTCACTGTGGCCAGAATGTGTATTCTGAAACAGGATTGGGTTTGTCCGGGTATTTCCAGTGACAATTTTATAACATATAGAAGCAATAAGTGCCTAGCAACTGAATGATTAGGATAGAACTAATCTTAAAACAAATAATACTCTGGCTCCAAATACCTTCAGTATTCCTCCCATCATCAGCTTGTTGTTTTCTTTTAAGAAATCATTTATAGTGCTTTAAAATGTTTACGGTGAACTAAATCCAATGTAACATTTGTACACTTCACAGATCTTTCTCTTCCACACAGCAGCAGAATCCCTCCACAGTCCTAAGACCTGCCAGAAAATTAATCTGAAGGGCTTCCTAGGTTTTTCAAAGCAGGTTTTCGGGGTGCTGTGGGGTTGCAGTGAGAAGAGGAAATAATTTCCTTCCTATGTTTATGGACCTCACTGCTGTATGAGTATATGTCCACCAGTGGACACAGCCCAATATTTATAGCGCTTATAATGCTTTGTAATGTCATCTCAAAACAATGTTATTCTGATTTTTACCTACAATGGATGACATCACCTTTGAAATGAAAGAATAAACACAGCTGAAAACTAATTAATGTAATGGTATTTATATAATTAGTACCCATACAGAACTTAAAGATACTGAAAGAGGTTAAAGACCCTTTATTAGATATAAGTTGCTACAGATTACACTCATTGAGTGCACACTCATGAATTGCAATCATAGAGACACTGAGTCCAGTTTTGTGCTCAACCTGAAGACTTGGCTCTTGGCTGGATAGTGAATGAGTAACCTCACTTAGCACAGCAACATCAGGAAAGGCAAATCTTACGAGAATTAGCCTCATTAACAAGTGATTAAACTATGGTGACACAAGACTGGACAAATTTAAAACGGGATTGGCCTCTACACAAAGTTCTGAGTTTCTGGTGCAGACTGCTTCTTTTGATGTATGGTGGGGAGGAGCATAGTACAGTACTGTATATACTGTAGCTTGCATTGCAATGTATCACCCTATTGCTGGCACAATATAGGAGGTACTTGGTCCTATTACACTTAGAACAGCCATCCAAAAATTTATTTTGTTGCATTTTTTTACACAATTAAATATTCAAAGGGTGGTTTATAGAGCCATTAAAAGCACTATCCAATGAAAATTTAAAAAATGGTTTTAAAATAAAAACTAGATACAAGCCTCCCCCCTCCCCCAGTAGTTCTTAAGACTTGGAGAAAAACATGTGTTGCCAATGAACTAAGAAAAGAAATCAAGAAGCCTAATAAATGTCTCTCTGTTTATGGTAACCAGAGGTCAGCAAGTGTGGAGTGTAAAGGTGAGCATGTAAACTTTCCCTCCACTCCACCAGACTCCCCATCCCAACTGATCTCATGATCACTGATTATTCTGAGTCACCTTCCAGATGTCAAACTGGAATTGCCATCATCACCTTTACCTTTTGATTATTCTGGCTAGGACTGATACCAGTTTCAGTTCAACAGTATCTAAAGGGCCTCATGTTATCCACTACAGTACTAAGCTAAACAGATACAAAATTCTTCAGAGCTTCAGGTTGTTGTTTTTTAAAGGAACTCTGAGTTATTCATTTCTTCTCAGCAGCCAGGTCGCTGTTTTATTGTTCAAACCATGCAAGTACTGTAATCTGTTGCATTATGCATTATTAAAATCCTGTGTTGTCAGAAAAAATACCAAGTAGACCACCAAAAAAAAAGGGGGGAAATACTCAGTTTTGTCCCCTGGTGGCCAATTCTGATACTGTGCCTTCCAAATATTTACAAATACTGTATCTAAAACAGAAGAATATTTTCCCTTGCTGATTACTTTTCAGATAATCTAGCACAGTGGTTCTTAACATGGGCAATAATGCCCCCCAGGGGGCGATTTCATTTTTCAGGGGGCAGGTAGGTAGGTAGGTAGGTAGGTAGGTAGGTAGGTAGGTAGGTAGGTAGGTAGGTAGGTAGGTAGGTAGGTAGGTAGGTAGGTAGGTAGGTAGGTAGGTAGGTAGGTAGGTAGGTAGGTAGGTAGGTAGGTAGGTAGGTAGGTAGGTAGGTAGGTAGGTAGGTAGGTAGGTAGGTAGGTAGGTAGGTAGGTAGGTAGGTAGGTAGGTAGGTAGGTAGGTAGGTAGGTAGGTAGGTAGGTAGGTAGGTAGGTAGGTAGGTAGGTAGGTAGGTAGGTAGGTAGGTAGGTAGGTAGGTAGGTAGGTAGGTAGGTAGGTAGGTAGGTAGGTAGGTAGGTAGGTAGGTAGGTAGGTAGGTAGGTAGGTAGGTAGGTAGGTAGGTAGGTAGGTAGGTAGGTAGGTAGGTAGGTAGGTAGGTAGGTAGGTAGGTAGGTAGGTAGGTAGGTAGGTAGGTAGGTAGGTAGGTAGGTAGGTAGGTAGGTAGGTAGGTAGGTAGGTAGGTAGGTAGGTAGGTAAGATATCATCACCTCAGGGAAGGGGGGCAATGATAACTTCCTCAATGGCTCAAGGGGGCGTTTCTTTCAAAAAGGTTAAGAACCACTGATCTAGCACACTATTTCTCAAAGCTTTTTTGAAGAAGAATGTTCCATAAGTATCTCTGTAATGGGCAGCCATGACCTCACCTGTCCGTCACAGCTGGGCAGGGAATCATCAGCCAATGGTGTGACAGAGGGTGGAACTGAAGGGGAGGAGCTGGTATAAAAAGGGGGGTGAAGAGTGTGTGGAGGTGATTGAGTAAGAGAGTTCTATAGTGAGATCTGGTGTGAGAGTTGTCAGTGAGGGAAAGTCTATGAGTTTAATTAAATAAGAAAGTGATTTACACCTTGCTTATCTTTCAATGATTTACTTATTTTATTTTGTAATCAATAAACCAGTTTTGTTTTCGAAGAAACCCTTGTCCTTTTTATTTAAAGGAAAGGTTGGTGGCAGTGTGTGGTAACATGGTGACCGTTCTGTGAGGCCTGAGTAGGCGGAGACAAAGGAGTGGCCCGCCACATTACAATCTCTTGCCCATCACACAGTGCAAATTATGAAGTCTCATCCTACAGAAGTGTAAGACATTTAAAGCTCTTTACTCAGTGCTCTTAGAAAGTCTGTAAGCAGGAAAACTGAAAATGAATTCCTTTTTGCTTGTTTGATTATTAAGCACCGCTTCATCAAACTGCCACTGAAAATGTTACATATGCATTCAATTTACTGTAATTATGCTATGTTGATCTTTTAATTTGATTACTACAGATTAAATGCTCCTCTATGCATAAGAACCAGTGCTTTTCATTTCAACAACTTGATCAAAGCTGAACTTTGTTTAAAAAATGAATCAAACCTTTCCCCTATTTTGTTTTCTTTGGCCTTCTTATTTTCTGGACTGTCCATCAGCAGCAAGAATTGAAAGCTTCCTCTATGTTTAATAGCTGGATAGCTAAGCAGGTTAGAGTAGAGATGGAGGTACTGTATTCGTATGTGAATATCCTCCCTCAGGTGGAAATAACAAGGGTCCAGCCCCATGAGGCCGGACTGTCCACTCTCCATTCCGCCGGTGACGTGAGCTTGACGGAGCCTTTCTATTGCAGTGTTGTCCACAATGGATTAGCAACTCTCTGCCAGGCCACAGAGTGGCTAATTCATTGCGGACAACGGCGCAACAGGAAGGCTCCGTCGAGCTCACATCAGTGCAGAATGGTTAGTGGACAGCTTGTTATTTCCACCTATGGGGGGTTATCCGTATTTGTATACCCACATCTCTAGTTTAGAGGTTGGGAGTTCAATTCCCACCATGCATTCCTGAGAGGGGCTGGACTTGATGACCCACAGGACCCTTTCCAGCTCTGCAGTTCTAAGATGACAGTGGTGCTAATAAAGCAAATCTCACCAAATGTGTTTGAGAACGGTATTTTAGAATAAAGAGAAAGCCTGAGAAGAGAGAGGCTCTCCTGATAGTGTGACAGCCTACTGAGGCCTCAACCAACAAGTGTTTTTAGTGTAGAACTGATTCACCCTTTCTTTTGAAGTGCCAAGTTCATACAGGAGGACCTCGCCCAGATAAAGCTCAAACCTCTCCCTCTGTTGAAGCTAGATAATGGGGAGGGAACACTCCACCCCCACCTTGCTCGCCGTTCTCATGGGAAGATCAGGAACGGGCTAGTCAGGGCCAAAGCCCCGTAGGCAGGGCACTCAGAAAGAGGGTGCAGGCGCATGAAGGAGAGAGACTCTAGTAGGCCACTTTCTGCACCCCAGCTAAGGCAGCTTGTAGGTACAAGTACTGTACTCCCTAATCTAGTGCTCAGAGAGGGAAGCTGCAATGGAGGGTTTTCTTGCTCGCATGCTTCCACATTCCCCACCTCAGCAGTCATAAAGCCAGATAACTTGCAGGGGGAAGGGGGCGGGAGAAGAGTTCCTCCCCTCTTGCTCCTTTCGAGCCTCTCCGGCAGGGCTAGGCTTAAGCGAAGAGACAGCCATTTAGGGATCCATCACCCCCTCTCCTCAGAGGTGCTTATCCTTCCAAACAGAAGCGCCGGCGTCGAATGGTTGTCGTGTGAGGTGTGCAAATCCTGAGCCAAAAGGCCCCATTGTGTGAGGAGGAGCGAGAAGCGTGTCATCTTCCCAATGTTTTGGGGATGTAACTGTCACGGCTTCTGACTCTCGGGCCGTGACTTGGGCAGCCCTGAGGCGAATTAAAACCCCCAAACCATCGGAAAGAAGGATTCCTTTTCTTACTTTTTAAATTTTTTTTTTTTAATTTGGCCTTGTGCTAAACCTCTGGCGTGTGCTGCCTGCCTGCTATTTACTCGCCCAAGCGAGCATGACGGGCCTAATCTCTTTCGCCGGGAGTGCAAAAAGCAACAACGGGCGGCCCGCACCACGCTCCGGAGGGCGACGTTGAAGCAGCAGCCGCGGAGCCGACGGCGGGCACCTCACACTTGGGAAGGGCCGGGTCTTTTGGGTTCAGACTTCAAACAGGTTCATGATTGTTTTTTTTTTTTTTTTTTGGCGGCGACAGCCCGGGTAGGGCTTGGTCTAACACTTCCCCAACATGTCGAAACTGGTTTCCACGCCCGTCCCTGCCCACAACGCTCCTGAGAGAGCGAAAGAGAGGAGGAGGAGGAGGACGGGAAATACCTGTGAGGAGAGGGAACTGTGTCTCGACTTGAAGCTCGTCACTTTCGTCGTGTTTTCCCCTCCTCAGACCTCCACCGGCCTCCGCGTTTTCATGCACACCAAAGCTTCTGTGAGGGGATTTCTAGGCGCTAGGACGCGGCCAAGTAAGTGAAGCGGGCTTCGCTTTTCCCGCCTCCTCCCCTCCCCGTTTGTCTGGGGGGAAAAAACACCCCTCACTGAAGGAGATGGGACTTTCTTTCTTTCTTTCTTTCTTTCTTTCTTTCTTTCTTTCTTTCTTTCTTATCCCTTTTAGAGAGGGGCTCCGACGTGTCCTATCCCTCCCTCGCGCGCGCCCCGGTGATAAAGAGGAAAGGTGTGGTTGTGGTTCACCATTGTTCCCTTCTGAGGCCGACGTTCAGGGAGGCGTGTGTAAGCACAGGACACAACAACAACAACAGTAGTCCGCTGTCTCTGGTTTTAATGAATGGGAAGGGAAAGGATGCAGGGAAAATTGGCTGGAAATGAGGAGAAGAAAGCTCGCAGCCCCGTAACTGACGTTGCCGGCTCTTCCCCTCGGGGACCTTATCATGGGTTTTTGAAACCAAGGAGGGGTTGAAATATATCCTAGGCTGGCGTGACTCGGCGAAGGAGAAAAAAGTAAGGAGAGGCTTATTTGAACTCGATGTGGTTGGAAGAAAGGAAATAGAGATGGCGAGAGGCCGAAGAAGGCGACAGAAGGTGTTCCCACGTGTTGTTGGGCAAAGGCTTCGGGGCCGTGGCGGAAATGGGATAACGGCCCTCCTCACCACCACATTAAAGGAAACTAAGATAGGATCAAAAAGCATGATGATTAATCCGGAGGTCCTACGGGATTCCGTTGTGTTCACATGGAAGAGGAGGAGGCTGCTGATAGCCAGGGTTTCCAGTCGGTTTCCCATGAGAGGTGTGAACAGACTGATCTTGTTTTAATCAAAATGGAAGACTGTGTACTGTACTTAAAACCGAGACTATTATGTTTCCAGGCGGCAGTTCTGAACCTTCTTACCTGGAAGTAGGTCTATTTGAACATGGTAGGGCCAACTTTTGGCTAGATATGTATAAGGCTGGGGTACCTAACAACCAAACAAACCCTGAAGAGGGTTTTTCTTTCCTGCTTTTCTGTAGCCGGTCTTATGCTTCCCCTAAATTGGTTTCATTTCCAGTATCAGGAGAGTGGCTGAGGGGTAAAATATGTTAGAAGGAAGACCTCAGGGAGGTAACTGGTGTGGGGTGCGGTACCACTCCTTTCATATCCATCCTTTTTGCTATAAAAATTATATTCATTAGTGCCCCCCCCCATTTTCAACATAACTGGAACAAAGAAAAGCCAGGCGCATACCTACTGCCATCACATCTAGTTTGGCCCTTAGAGGCATCACTTGCACTGAGGCTTTGGTAATTAAAAAAAGACACAAGAAATAATATTATTTCTAATTGTTCCATGCTGAAAATACATTGAGCAACATAGTCATTTAATTTTGGTAGACAGTTTTTTTTATACAACACCATGGTTCTTAAGAATACTGAACATTTCAGGCCAGCTAGATATAGAACTTTACCTGCAGATATTTGGTTAAAGGGAAGGCTCGGGGTACTAAAAGACAAGTCAGTAATTTAGCATTTGTTAGAATATAAATGTGTGTCAGGAGCAAAAAAGCAACAGATAAGCACCAGAGTTTTGCACTGTCCGTTACAAGGTATAGTGGTCACTGATTTTATTTATTTTTCTCACAGTCTGAGAAAAATTTTGCTATGTGCTGTCAAGTTGCACCATCCAATCTGCAGTTTTCAAGGTACTGTAGTAGGAAGGATTTTTTTACACTGTTTCCATAGCGAAAGGGGCAGGGAAATTTGAACCCAGGTTTCCTGAATCTTAATTGGTCACTCTGTCTCCTATATCACACAGCCTCTTCATTTTTTTTCTTGTGTATGCTTAGACCACATACCCTAAAATTTTATGTCAAGGCTTAGAAAACATACAATTGTTCCATACTGAAAATACATTGAGCAACATACAGTAGTCATTTAATTTTGGTAGACAGTTTTTTTATACAACACCATGGTTCTTAAGAATACTGAACATTTCAGGCCAGCTAGATATAGAACTTTACCTGCAGATATTTGGTTAAAGGGAAGGCTCGGGGTACTAAAAGACAAGTCAGTAATTTAGCATTTGTTAGAATATAAATGTGTGTTCTAAGTATGTAAGTCAAGTCAATATTTTCCTATGAGAGTGGTTCTTAAGTCAAAATGTTCTTAACTCAAGCCGTTCTTAAGTCAAGACCCCACTGTATTTGGTTAAAGGGAAGGCTCAGGGTACTAAAAGACAAGTCAGTGATTTAGCATTTGTTAGAATATAAATGTGTGTCAGGAGCAAAAAAGCAACAGATAAGCACCAGAGTTTTGCACTGTGCATTACAAGGTACAGTGGTCACTGATTTTATTTGTTTTTCTCACAGTCCGACATGGACTTTTTAAATTTTTGCTATGTGCTGTCAAGTTGCACCATCCAATCTGCGGTTTTCAAGGTAGTAGGAAGGATTTTTTTTACACTGTTTCCACAGCGAAGGGGGCGGGGAAATTTGAACCCAGGTTTCCTGAATCTTAATTGGTCACTCTGTCTCCTATATCACACAGCCTCTTCATTTTTTTTCTTGGTTATGTTTAGACCACATACCCTAAAATTTTATATCAAGGCTCAGAAAACATACTCATCAGAAATCAAGATCTTTATTATCTCTCTCAAATGAGTACAATGCAGCCCGATACCACTACTCACTCTGTCACGACACAACTAACTCCAGTATCTCTTAGGTCTATACTAAACAACACTACCCCCCAGGTTATGATTCAAAATAAGCATCTTGTTTATTTAATGGGATGGGGAGGAGTTATGAAAGTCAGCATGGTCCTAAAACATACTCAGTAGATAATGCAGTACAGCACACAGAATAAATTCTTATGAACGCCATGGGGATTATGGTACAGGTTCATTAAACTTTATACATCTGATAGAGAACATTAGCTGCTAACACTGAAACAGCTGGTTCTGAAGTGTAAGTCAATAGAGCTTCAAATTAAAGTACTCTGTTTAGGATTGTCCTTTGTAAAATTCATATAACTTGGAGGTGGGACTTCTCTAAATATTTTGCTATTTAGGTTACCGTTTTACAGACCCTGGGAGTGTTCTGGCATTATTGCTCTGATACCAGTTCCACTGGAACCAATTTAAAAAATATATGATTTCTAAAAAGATTCTGAAACAGTGGCAAAAAAGAACACTACTCCCTATCTTCTTCCCTCCTGAAACAAGAGCAGGGCATAGGATAGATTATTACTTTCCAACCCTCTTGGGACTCCTGTATTCAAAATAACTGCATCCATTTTTGGAGTTTTAGCATCAAATAGAAGGTCTTCACTTATGACATTTCAGCATTTCCCACATCATAGATTGAGTAGATTTTACAAGGAGTTTATCCTACTAGTAATCATTCTTGTGCAAGAGAGGCAAGTATCTAAAACAGTTATCTTTGGTTAGAAGGGGCATTGTTCGAACAAGGCCCATAAAATCCTCATGGAATGAGATCTCATACTGCAGAAAGGGATTCAAGGATTTGCTAATATTTGCTAGTATGTGTTGATGTGTACTTTTCCTTGATTAACCCTATTTTTTTTTTAAAAAAAACAATTGTATAGAACATAAGTTGGAACAAACTTAGAGCAGGTATGCACATACTATTATTCTTTCAAAACAAGGGTGTCAGAATGTAGTCGCTAGCAGAATATCACGTGTCTTCTGTTGATCCAGGTAAAACTATCTGTATATATCATAGATATCAAGTTAGGCACATTTTAGCTTTTAGTCAATGACTTTTAACTAAAGTGCTAAGTTTATTTACTAAGGCTTGTTTTTTAAAGAAAAAACCAAGAAAATTTGTGTTATAATTAAATTTGAATTTCACTAAATTTTAAGTATCCCATAGTCATACATAACATGGTAAGCCCTGGAACCATGGGGACCCTGCTTTCTGAGTTACAGGCAATCTGTTGATGCAAGTTGCTCATGAATTTTGATCCATGGTTTGTTTGGCATGTTCTCCAAATGTGTACTCAAATGCTACTCTGGTTCTTTTCTCTCCCAACCAGCCAGAGTAGGAATCCAGCATTTAACTTAGTTTTCCTTCTGTGGTTTGTTAGGTAAAGATCAAATCAGAGAACCTGAGAGGTAACTGTGCTTGTTTTCGTACACAGACTAAAGCTCTTTGGCTTATAAAGCAAACTTTTCTATATGTGGGAGTAACAGGTATTAAGCAGTAGCATGTGGTTCATAACAGATAAGGCAGGATCCCACAATGTGGTGTGAATGATACATTGTCACTTTGTTTCTTCACCTTGTCATGAAGCCTATTAATGTAGGGTTATATAAATACAAAGGAATATAGTATTTGTACTTTTTGTGTCTGAATTTGTGGATTTTGATCCACAAAAGCTTATGCTGAAATAAATCTGTTAATCTTTAAAGTGCCACAATGTTTTTCCTTTTCTCCCTTAACTTTAGTTTTGCCAGAGTATAACGTTTTCATATATACTTACATTTAAGTGGTTATTTTCAATGCATCAAACATATATATGAATATTTGGGTAAAAATTAATAGAAAAAAAGCCCAGATTTCCATTATCCTTTAGCTATTGAGTTGTGCAGTCATAAGCATTGGCCAAAATCCTGTTGCTTAGTGTACTAAATCACACCGGAGTATGAGAAACTAATGAGTCAGTTTCTCCATAACTTCCATTGATTCAAATGGGCCTCCCCTAACTTCATAAGTCACAGGTAAAGTATGGAACTTCTCTAATTGACTCATCAAATTCCCATTGATTCAGTGCTATTAATATCAATTTTTGGCACTGTAATAGATGTGGATTTAGTAATGCTTGAACTTGATTCATTGAAACAAACTGAGATTAAGGTATTCATGCTTAATGTATTCTGATGGTTATTGTAGGTTTTTCAGGCTGTCTGACCGTGTTCTTGAGGTTTTTCTTCCTAATGTTTCTCCAGTCTCTGTGGCCGGCATCTTCAGAGGACAGGAGTCAGAACTCTGTCTGTGCTCTAGTGCAGTTTGTG